CCTCCCCACTAAAAAGAGTATAATAATATTTACTTGTTAGTGTCATTGAGAGGATTAAGTCAAATAATAATGCTAACTTTCATTTGCTGAGTGCCTACTATATGCCGAGCACTTTTAGAGACACTTAAATATGTTTTAATTCATTAGATACTTAGAATGACTTTATAAGGTGTTGCTATTATTTCTCTTGTTTTACAGATGAGGAAATGGGCACAGAGATGTTAAGCAACTTGCCCAAGGTTGCACAGCTGGTAAGACACTATGTGTGTGTCTATGTATACCTATGACTCTCTAGGGTACCTAGTGCACAGTAGGTGTTCCTTAAATAGAGCTCTCTTCCCCTTTATCAAACAAGACTTTACTTCTACTGCATGATGTGCAGTTGATAATTCCAATTTTGATAATATAAAAAAAATAGTCACTTTTGAGAAGAATAATTTTCAGGTTCTAAAAGGCTCTTGGGTGCAGCAATCCTCCTCTTGAAGCCTGGTTTTTCATGGATGGAGCTACCTGTCTCCCAGCCAAAGATTTTGGGAAATGCACCTGATCCCACACCTCCACTGTGATAATAGCACTGTTAAGACCACAAACATACAAGCATTATATGTGGCCACAAGATGGTTCTTCTAACTTCATAAGTATTTTACTGCGTCTTTTCACTTCCCTTAAGCGTTCTTTCATTATTCAGGTTGGCTAGCCAAAAGGTACTGCAATGTTCCACTGGTCTCCTATGGGATGCATCAAAATATATACATGTATTTTTAGATCAACTGCCATAGTCTACATTTCTTTTTATCTTAATCACATGTGCTGTAATCGTAGATACTGTAAGTATTCAGACAGACAAAACAAGACATGTTGCATCATTTCATAAATGGAGTTTTCAGTTCTATTTAATAGAAATGATCTAAGCAGCTTCATCCCTGTTCCTGGACATTCTGGAAGAAGCGTGTTTTGGAAACAGGCTCAAGCCCGTTAAAGACGATGAACCTTTAATTAAAGACTTGATTGTTTTAAGAGACAACAGGCCTGCCAGAATTCCTGCTCTCTGGAGAGAAAAACAAAAACATCCCTGAGTCCCCATCACAGATAGCATTTCCTGGCCTGATCCCTGACCACTCTGGGGGACCCAATCACTCCCAGATGTCTTTCCCTCTGTCTTCTGCAGCCTCCTCAGTCTGGTGGGTACTTGGCCACTTCCAGCCACACCTTGTCCTGTGCTGTCTGCCCAGTCATCAGAGGGGTCTTCCTCTGTTATGCTTTGCTTCAACTTTTCAGTACAGTGGGTCACAGCTAACACAAGAGTGAGGTTCTACAGGCACTATGGAAGGCAAAAGTTGTGTCCAAACTGCCCTTCTGAAATGAAATCTCTGGGGAGGCACCGTGGTAAAGATCAATACAGCATGTCTCTTAAGTCCGATGCTGCCAAGGGTACTCCTGCGCCAGGACAAAGGGGCTCTGTGGACCTGTGCCGGGGACTAGGAAATGAGGTGGGTGGCGGGGAGTTGATTCAAAACTCAAGCTTTCGCTGAGTGGAAGAGAGGAACAGATGACCCACACCATGTCACTCTCTCTCAGTCTTGCCACATCTCTCACTGTGCCCTCCTGACCCCCCTCCTTCATGCCAGACATCTGCAGATCTTTGTGGGCATCAGCCCTCCACACCTTCATGCCTCTGCTTACATTTTCCATCTGCCCAGAAAACCCACATCCTCCCCCTCATGTCTCTTCATTCCTCTTCCTGGAAGCTGCTCCCTAGCCCTATAATGACCCATCTACCTTTGTTCTAGCACTGACAAGGTGATGCCATGTCCATTGTGCTGGGAGAGCAGGGCACACACAGCGTTCATTTCTGCACCCTGGTGCCCAGTGTTTCCCTGACTTGAAAAATCAAGGGATATGCAACCCTTATCCTCCCCTCCCTGCCCCCAGGGCAATAATGAGTCAATAGAGTTCGTGACAACCAGAGCTACTCGGTTCTGGTTCTGACAACTGAGCCTTCGTGAACCACATTCACACCCTGGCTTCCACCAGCAGTTTACGGACTGTGCCTTCTCCTACTTGGTGACTAGCTCTGCATGAAGGTCTGGGGAAATCCAGTATACCCAAAGCCACCATTTGAGTTTTTATTTCTCCTCATTCAATTACCAATTAATGTTTCTCTGATGGCTCCCTTGGGGACAGCTATGGGTCCAAGATACAAAGAAGGTTTAATGGGGGATCCAGACAAAGGCTATTTTGAGGGATGGGGGTGGGGGAAGGGAGGGCTCCTGGGAAATAACTCATCCTAAGGAGAGGCTCATAGCTTTCATCCAACGACACTGTTTCTGAGATTGAGAAAATATTCTTACCCAGTCTCTAGGTCTCATGCCTGAGTCAAGAATGTTGGAATTAGAAGAAAGGTTGAATCAGCCCTGAAAACTAAGGTATCAGGAAAAAGAGCATCTTAAAAAAAAAAGGAAAAAGAGCAGTCCTCTTCCTTATGTAGTAATGTAGTAGAGCAGACTGCCATATAGGTCCCAATTCACCCTTCCCTGAACTTACGTCCTCTGCTGTGTGACTTTGCTGTGCCTCTCACTAAGGCAGCACAGAATATTTTCCTGTCTCCTGATTTTGGGGTCTGTCATATGACTTGTTGTGACCGATGGAATAAGGCTAAAGGCAGAATACACCAGGTCTGAACCTAGGGTTATTAATAAGGGTTATTGCATGTTTTTGCTTGCCCTTTCCACTGTCACCAAGTCATGAGAAGGATATGCCCATGCTAGCTGACTGGTTCCAGCAGGACAATGAAGATACATGAAGCAGAGCTAACTGAGTCACTTGAGCCTAGCCGAGATCAACTTATCCTCTGATGAACCCCAGATGCTTGGGCAAGTCAGCCAAGATCCAGCTGAATCCAGCCTGGACCAGCCAACCCTCAGCCAACCTGCAGTCCATGACTGCTGTTTCAAGCCACAGAGTTTTGAGGTGCTTTGTTATGCAGCTGGCTATAGTGAGCTGATACATATGTGGGATCTGGATCCTGGCTGCCATACCAGTTCTCAAATTATCAATTACTGGGCCCATAAAGCAGAACTGGTTCTGATCCACAAATCCTGAGGGGCCAGGTAGGGGCAGCGGAGGCCATTTTAAGTACAAGGTGCCTTACCAACCATGAGCCTTGGAGTTTATATCTTAATACATGAAAAGTACAGTTGAACAGAGATAGATTTGACTGTGTCCATTAATGGGCAGAAAGAACATCAGAACTTCCCTAACCTAATATTTAACCTTGGAGCAGGTGTACATTTTCCCACCACACACAGTTTTCTGATCCCAAACAAATTTCCAACACTCACAATCTGCTTCAAGACAAAACAAATTTGTATATTTTTTTATGTTACTTTTTCCCTAAAACACTTTTTGGAAGACCTGTTTAAAGCTAAAAGTAATGACTTGATAATTTATGAACTTTTTTAGAACTGGTTTCTCTAATAACCCCGGCAAGTTCTTTTTAATGTTAAAAAATTCCAATGTCCACTTCATTTGTCTGAAGTAATCTTCTAAGGTTGGCAAAACAGGTGCCACTTTAATCTACCACATTTGTCCTAAGTAAAAGTAATGCTAATTAATATTTAAGTGGCAGGCACCTGGGTGGTTCAGTAGTTGAGCATCTGCCTTTGGCTCAGCTCATGATCCCAGAGTCCTGGGATTGAGTACTGCATTGGGCTCCCCGCAGGGAGCCTGCTTCTCCCTCTGCCTGTGTCTCTGCCTCTCTCTCTGGGTCTCTCATGAGTAAATAAATAAAATCTTAAAATAATAACATCTAAGTGTCATGGAGGAGTATTTGTGTGTGTGTGGTGGTGGGGGGGGGCAGTGTTACATCACCTTGTGCCCAATAAATGAATATAAAAGAAAAAGAATCTTAGTATTACTTCCTTTGATGAATAGATTATTTATCAATGTAAGTGTTCCAGTGCAGTCACTGTTTACATTCCACCCATTCTCAACTCTCATGGTTACAAATAAAGGGCACAGTATGGCATTTTGGAAAATAACTATCAAAAGAAATGGTAATAAACCTATGGAGAGACTTTCTGGCCCCCAGGCTAAAACAATCTTTCAGAAGGAACTGTCTTGAAAGGAAAACATTCTCTGAAATGTGGTCAAATGATTTAGGACCAGCACCTAAATCCTACAAAACATCTAGAATAAAAGGCTGGCAGAGAGGAAACAGAAGGCCTCTGTGTGGTTTACCTTTGCCTGGGGGACTCTCGTACTGTGGGAGGAAAGCCTGAAACAATAGAGACTGTCTGTTCCCTCTAATCAGGACCACTAGTCCCTCTCCTTCACCCCCTCCCACTGCCACAGAACCTTCACCTGTTGTGAAAGCAGATGCCATTGTTAAGTGCGTGTGCATGGTGGTGGTGGGAGAAATTAAAAGAATCTTTTATAATAGTCAAATCATATGAACGGTCTCAATTAAATACCGGCAATTTCTTACGGTTCAACCTAATACAATGTGTAGGTATAAAATACCCCCTCCATCACACAAATCAGAAATATGGGCTAAGCCGTAAGATATGTAGAACTGTGAACGAAACAAAAAGCAGATTATCCCCTGCAGATGATAGGCGCTGTTAACATGATCACAGGGGCACTGGGTGGCTCAGTGGGTTAAGTGGCTGCCTTTGGCTCAGGTCATGATCTCCAGGTCCTGGGATGGAGCCCCACGTCAGGCTCCCTGCTTGGCGGTGGGGAGTCTGCTTGTCCCCCTGCACCCATACTCATGCACAGTATACACACTCTTTTTAGCTTGTTCCTCTCACATAAATAAAATCTTTTTAAAAATTAATGTATAATACATATACATCTTTTTAAGCTACAAAATACTGTCGCAACCTACCAACTCTAGTTATCCTCTTTGTGGGGCTGAGGTGGGGGGAATCTGCACACTCAAGCTTTAGGGTCATGACAAATGCGCCCCCTGGAAGGAGGTGGCAGGAGCGCTGACTTACCTGGAGAGCAACAGCTGACCTTGGAGCTGCAGGTCGGCGGCACAGTCCTCTGAACGGCAGTTCCTCTCAAAGACCGTCTGTGGGGGACAGACAACGGGAAGGACAGGATTTAATGGCAAAGGTGTAAATACCAGCCAACAACTTTCTTCCAAATCAGCGAGCGGTAACTCTTCCTGGGAACCTTCGAGGCCTCCCCTCCCACGAAGCCAGCCCCCCAACAAGGTGAGGGCTCCTCCTCAGGCTCCAAGGAAACCAGGGCAGAGGGGGCCTGGACTGCAGAGTGCATTCCTTATCGGGTTCCTTTCTCAGTCTACCCAAGTGCTTCTTGAAGTATGTTCCTCAAGAAGGGTACACGGCAGGTGTCCTTTCCACGTTTGAGAAGATCCTTAAATGCACTCCAATGTGAGTGAATAATCCAGTTGCATAAAGAATTCTTAGATTATAGTGTGGTCATTGTCTTCTGTTTGCTTTCTTGGGAAGGCAGAAAATCTCTGTGTGAGATGGGTTCGGCTCGAGCGATGGGATATTATAATGTTTGGTGCCAAAGGGAAACGTCAAAGGCAATGAGGCGAGTAAGCTGAGGACACCACACCCGGGCTGAGGGGACTCTTTCCTACGTCTGGGAGGTGGGGAGGCATAGCCTCTAACCTAGATTGGGCCTCAATGGCCAAAGCTCCCGCTTAGCTTCAGGGCCTAACCCTCTGCGTGCCAAACCCACTCTGTCCACGGGGCTTGTGCAGCGTGCTGAGCCAGGTCTATCTGTGGAGGTTGGCAGGGGAATCGGGAGCAGCATTTTGGGAGGAGTTACAGTTTTCCCCTGTGGTCCACAGCAGGCTGCCAGTCCCTCCCTCATATTGGTCTGGAGCCCTCTGACATGTCTCATCTACGGACAGCAGGCTCCCGGTGTTCCAGACTCACAGACACTCCTCACTACTGTCAAGAGGCTTTGATCATTTTGGGTTTTGGAGAGAAGAGCCTGTTGTCATTTTTTCATTGTAAGTCATTCACTATTGAACGTCTCTTCTGTCACTGCTCATGTTTGTGGGTTTTTCCCCACCACAGAACACAGTTCCAAGTGATCTGCTCCCCTCCCACCGGGTCCATCCAGGCGGCTCTCAGAGTGCCAGCACGGACTCCGGTGAACTTGCTGGCCCACGGACAGTCTAGACCTACCAGAGGGAGTAATTGTGCCTATGGAAATTCATATTCCTGTGTCACATTTCCAAAAGAATAAAGTGCCCCAGCCAACATTCCCGGCCTTGATTGTGGCAGGGGCAAAACTCATGGAAGGCTTGGGCAAAACAAAGGAAATTCCCAAGTCCTTTTGGACACTACTGGGAGCAAGAGAGACAGCCAGATTTCCAGACTTCCAGATAAGACATTTGTGCTTGATTTGCCATCTTGAGCAAGGAGAGAACAGGAGCAAGTGGATGTGGACTGCACGGATATCTCAGGCGAGAGCTGCAGGCTCTGGAGGGTAGGAATGAGGGCAAAGCACCAAAAGTGGCTTCACTTTTGAGACTGAAGCCTGAAGGTCCTTTCATGGGGACTGTCATGCCCTGACCGAGGCTTTGCACCTAACCTTGTTGTAATCTCACATTTTTCTTCCAGCAAACTTTCCACCCATATTATCTAAGCTTCAGGTCTCACAATACCCAGCCCTGCCCATGCTGACAAGGCTCCTCCTTGCACATGTCTTCCCAGTTTCACAGGTGAGAGGGACAAGGTGAGTTCCCCACTGTGAGATATGTGGTGGGAAGCAGGTGAGAAGTTATGGAAAGGACGTGACCTAAGTCCTCCTGTGGCACACAATCTGGCAAGACCTGGCCCCTTTCCTCCTTACCTCTGTCTCTCTGGCTGTCTTGTGCCAGCCACCCCTCAGACTGGCCTCCCATTTTCCCATAGGACAAGCAGGGCCTCCACCACAGCTGGTCCCCAGCTCCTCCACCTGGTTCACCCAGGGCATGTCCTCTCATCCTTCCATGAGCAAATCAAAACCATGTCTCTGAGCCCCCTCCACCCATGAGCTCAGGCTTCATTGTAGTTCTAGTTCTGGGTACTTTCTGCTGCTACTGCTCCTCTGGGTTTAAAACTAACTGATTTTTATCATTACTGGTTTCCTGTTTATCTCCCCTGCTAATATTATGCCTCCACAAAGATAGGGACTGTATTGGTCTTTTTAAAAAAATATTTTATTTATGTATTCATGAGAGACACAGAAAGAGAGGCAGAGACACAGCCAGAGGAAGAAGCAGGCTCTCTGTGGGGAGTCTGATACGGGACTTGATTCTAGGACCCAGGAATCATGACCTGAGCCCAAGGCCGATGCTCAACCACTGAGCATCCCAGGTACCCCAGGATATATTGGCCTTGTTCACCTTTGTGCCTGTCCCTGGAGCCTGGCATCTTGAAGTTGCCCGGTCAACACTGGAAGACTGTGTGGTGCTCTGAAAGATGAGGTGACCCTGAAATGGGGAGTCCCATGGTGGCTGCCCCAATCCAGGCCAATGCTAATAATCAATGCCCAAGCTGTAGCAACCATCCCTTAGCAACATGTGAGTGTAGAGCCCCCTATGAAGGGTCTGTTGCTTTGTAAAAATTCATTGTCTTTGGTCTGCCCTCCTCTTGTACTCTGCTATTTCCTATCCCTGGAACTGACTCACATCTTCCAGGGCTGCTAAATTTCCATCCAACAAAGGCAAACACTGAGTCCACCATTTATATATCTTGATGTACACACACAGGGATACATATATGTACACACACACACACGTGTTATGTGAGTGTTTATACTCACCAGCTAAAACTAAGCATGACCTATTCCGAGAAGATAAAACACCAGCTTACAAATTAGCCCAGGACTCAATTTCCACAGTTATAAAATGAAAATCAGCCATGGCTTTAGGCAAAGATCCTTCCAAGCTGCGAATGCAGTTGTCTTAGAGGTAGAGTAGCAAGACAGAGGAAATCAAGAGACTTGCCTCATGTACTGGGGAGGCTGAAGTTGAAACTCAGAGTTCCTGTGCTTTGGACCTGGATTTGTCTCTCTGGGCAAATGACCATTTTGTTTCCTGAGGAACTGAAAAGCATCCCTCTGGGGCAGAAGGTAGGCAGACTGAGGCCTCAGAAAGCCAGCTGACAACAGAGAGTTTCCAGGAGCAAGTAAAGACTACTTCTCTTTTACTAAGTACAAAGAGTACAGGTTCCCTATGAAGCCAATGGGCCAAACTCCCAACTTTCCTCTTAGGAACAACCCTGAGCGCCAACCAGGGCCTCTACGAAATTCCTCCACCCGCTTTTGCCCCTGTCTCCCTAGTCTTCTGGGCAAAGGCAAGCCTGGCTGTCCGAATCTGACAAATCCCCCACCAGCTTGGAAGCATTCTCTCCTACTGCCCTCCAGCCTCCACCTTCGGGTTGCCAAAGCCCCGTCAATTTCTTTACCCAGAAGAAAACTTTCTGGAAAATGGAAACAGATCTGAGAAGCCACCATCTCTTAATTCCTCTCTGGTTAAAGGAGGTAAACCCTTTCTCTCAGGAGAAAACTGTTTCTTGCCTCAGTCTTCAGAGACTTGCGGACTGGACTCCCAGTGGCCTCCTCAGCCTCACAGACTAAATTTCCATGTTGGCTCCTTCCTCACCCTGGTCTTCACCCAGGTTTTCCTGGAGAATAGTTTTCTTTTTAAAATCCTTTATTCAGCTTCTCCCAAAATCCTTACTCTGCTTCTTTTAAAACAGGATTGGCAGACTTTTTCTATAAAGGGCATCTAGTAAATACTTTTGGCTTTGTGGCTATATGGTGTCTGTCACAACTAGTGGTGTGAAAGCGGCCATATGCAATATGTAGAGACAAAGGCATGGTCACATCTCAATAAAACTTTATTTATAAGAACAGGCAACAGACCAGATTTGGCCTGCAGGCTGTAGTTTATGGACTCCTGTTCTAGAATATTTGGCTATTGGTTTCCTCATTCTCTTCAGGCCAGGAAAAAAAAAAACAAACAAAAAAAAACCCAACAATGAATCCAGCTCAAGTTACATTTTTCTCTGAGCCAGAGTACAGAGGCTGGAGCTGGCCGTGCTTTCTTCCCAACACAGTGGCCACCAAGGCCAAGGCAGCCTTGGGGATGTGTGGCTTGGGGCTGGCAGCTCAATGGCTGTTCTGGCCAAGGTTGACTTAAGAGAGGAAGTTGTCTAGGGACTCAAGCCTTGGGGTGCCCATTTCTCATATTCAAATCTGCATTGGAAAAAATCTTCCTTCCTGATCTAATAGGAAGTAGGGTTCCTCACCTATTCTAGCTGCATGTTCATAGGAGGGTCAATTTCTTGGACTTGGTGATATTTGCTTTTATATATATATTTTTTTAAAAAAAAGAACACAAACCAACAATGAATCCAGCTCGTTACGTTTTTCTCTGAGCCAGAGTACAGAGGCTGGATTATATATATATATATATATATACACACACACACATATACATATATATATATATATATATACACACACACACACATATATAATCAATGACATAGATTAGATTCTATTTACAGGGTTGCTGTGGCAACCATATCCATGCTGAGGCCTGAGAAAATAGCACAAGTGGATTGAATGGGAATACATGATTTTCAAATCCCACCCCAAGCAGACCCAACAAGAAGGCTATTTTTAAGCTAACATGAGTAAGGCATTTCCTGATGGGCAATGTGACTTACCAGAGGGTCTCTGCCTGGATGACAGGAAGTATATTTCTAAACTGCTGTTCCTCCTACAGTCCCATAGAAGCTCCCAGAGGCTCTGGCCATATGTAAATAATGTCTGCAACCCCCAGCACCTAGTACAGTGTTAAAAAATTGTATAAATGCCATGACCAGAGTGTAAAAGGTTTCTCCTTCCAATTCTGTTTCAACAGACTCTTTTTTCAGAATCCAACACGGTCTTTAATGTGAGCTCAGGGTGGTCCTGAGATTTTCTTTGTTTAGCCCCATGCCCAAATGAAGAAATGAAATGTCTCATTGCCCAGTATTTAAAATCAGGTCATACATATAGAGTTCCTTTCTAAAAAGTATCATGTCCAAAGAA